TTGGCTTGAGACTGCAGTGTATCTCAGCTGTTTTTAAACATAGAAACTTGTGGTCTTCTTAAAGATCCATACCAGAATTTCTAAAAAAGGGGCCTCTGGGAATACTGAAAGTTATTTCTGAAGAAGATTTATATATTTTACGAATCTACAAAGAATATTTCAAGAATCTCTCTGGAAACTCTAAAATATTGTTGAATAGTCTCCGAAGAAAACTTGAGTGACATCTGAAGAATCTCTGATGGACCTCTCGGGAATCTTTAGTGAGTGAGATTCTTTAAAAATTCTATTGATGAATGCCAACTAATTCTAATAGATTAATTTTAATCTTAATTCACATTTTATGGCATTTTGTAATAAAAAAAAATAGTTCTCTCAAAACAAAGGACGAATGCCATATGTTTGTTTGTAGAAGATCTCTTATCTAACACGCAGATGTTCCTTCGTTGTCTTACAATAGTGTATTTAACACGTTTTAAATAACAAAAACAATCTTTGTTAAACAACTTTTTACACGATCACTAATAATTGCAATCCGTCGAGATAAATTTTCTAGAAAGCATAAATGATCTTGGGAAAAACAGAAATTTTGAAATAATAACATGCATGAAATTGTCCAGAGCATATCACTGAATGTATTTTGAAATATGATGGAAGTTTAGTTTTCGCGTAATTAATTTCGCCAAGTCATTCCGAGAAAATTCCCAGTAATTGCTACTTAAGATGTATCACTGGCTTAAAATAAGTCAAGGTGAGTTGACCTTTTAAATTACAGCTAAAATTAAAGATCAAACGACGGTTTTGTGTGTGGGTCTCGTTTTCTGTCGAATCTATTGCAAAAAATTCCGCATCCCAATTACGTTTAAAGAGACGTTATTAATTTTGAATGGCCAATTTAAACAATTCATTATTTCTCTTGTAATTTAAAATATGATAAAAGTGAAATTAAGTTTCCTTTACATAATAGAAGAATAAGAAATTATTCAGAACACTGACTGGAATAAATTGGCCGAGGTTTAGAGGTGAAGTTGCAAGTTTACGCATAATAAATATTTATGTAAATTTCATTTCGGTAGAAAGTTAGTAAAATGCGTGTGACATCATCGTCGGCGTAGAAGTTAATCATTGTTCTTGATTTTATCAAGGTTTAAGGTGAAGACCTATTAGGGGAACAATGGGAGAGGAGAGATTATTTTCGAATCGTTTGATGAGTTTCGTCTCAATTCTCCTATTACTTTAATTTACTAAAGCTTCGTTTCACAAAGGCTAATTAAAATCGCTGCAAAGATTAATCCCTTGAAGTGAACTGCTTTTTAATGAATTTACCTACACAATAAAATAAAATTTCAGCGACGATCAACCAACTTATAGTAGATCTCAGAAAGGTGATTTTTGCTCCTGTTCGCTTTTTCATAGGTATGAGGTTGAAATTTTATACTCAATCAGCATTTCACCCCTCTTATTTCTGTTTGTCCTGTCCCATGCTACGTATGGTGCGCAACCCATGTTGATGTTCCTCCACTCTTACTTCTCCTGTGGGTATCCCCGGGAAGTAGGTCCACACCACTATGGCCCCTTTCCCACCCCCGAAGCTGCAACCACGTCCCTGGAAATAAATTCAGTTAATGGTATGAAACCTAGTAGGAGGACGCACCGTTCCTCCTTTCAGGTTACTGATGGTTTCAACGATTTCCTCCTGAAGTGCTTTAAGCTCTTCTGTGGCGAGGTTCACCTCCGGGTACTTGATACTGATAATAGATAATATGTAGATAATAGAAAAGTGACTGTATTGAAATGTCAAACACAATTTAATGATTTTGAATTTGAAACGTAATGCTCGCTTCATCACTGCTTCTACGACATTTTGAATTCTAATTTCTGCACGGTTGTTTTGTACAAGAATCTTTAAGTTAAATTGACATTAATTTTATACCATAACAATAGCAACATTAAAGGTATCTTGAGTCAATAAAATAACATCTTTCAAATGAAGACTTTGTCATTGAAATTGCTGTAACTGAATGCTGCACTGCACTATAAAAAATAGTGTAGGTATTATACTATTATACCTTCGTTCGGGTACTACCGAGGGGGTAACATCTTCCCGCAATACTGTCACAAATTGTTTGCAATCGCTTACAATCCCTCTGATTGCTGTGGAAATCTCCCTCACAGTCCCACAATCGCGTTTGCAATCTCACAATCGCCTAAAACAATCCCGCAATCGTTGTGACAATCTGACAATCACATTGGCAATCGTGCACGCCCTCGCCTGTTTTTAGGTACAATCACACGTCACGCGGGGTTAGGCAAAAAAGTTATTGCACCTAACTTTATTTTTTTAAATGGAAGGCCCTGTATACTACTTAATAAACCCCTAAAGCGGATTTAAAAAAGCGGCAGAGCACCTCGGAGTAACCCTACGCATCATTGGATTTGACTCATTTTCAATTGCCTTGTTACATGTGGTATATATGTTAACTGTGCAAAGTTTGGCGTTTGGCAGTTATGGAGTTCACGGACGGACAGACGGGCACCATCAACTTCCCTATAAAGCTTACATCGCTTTCCTCTGCCGCTTAATAATCTACAAATATAGCAGATTAACTTTTAAAAAATATAATACACTAAGGATGATTCAAAAAGGGCTCAAAAAAGGTTTAAAAAAGGGTCAAACGATTTGATAAATACATTTCAAAAAAAATTTGAATCTTTCGGTTTTTTATATCTTATGAATCTATTGAAATCAATATGGAATTTTTGTAGTGTTATATTTTGGAAAAGAGATTCGTAATATGTTAGTTTTTGATTAAAATATTTCAATTTAAAAATGCACGTAGGAAATTCAAAAAATTGTAAATCTCAGAATGAACCTATATTTATTAAAGGAGACATAGCAAGATTTTTCTTAAAAGTTTCTTTATAAGACTGTTGAATAATGTGCCGGTTTAAAATAGGTGTACGGGATCAGGTAAAAAAGTTATAGAACCTAACCCCCGAGCTAACCCCTGACCTAACCCGAGACCTAACGTCATTTTTTTTAATGGAATGCTCGAAAAAGAGCATATTAAATTCACTTTCTAGAAATATAACACTAACGAAATTTAAAAAAGTGCATTAGATTTTTCAAAAAATTTCAAAATGTTTAATTTTTGTTGTTTTTTAATATTTGAACCTTTCTTAAATGTTTTAATTCTTTTTTAATAATTTTGAATCTTTTGTTTTCCAGTCCAGTAACTTTTTTGCGGACATCGTATATGTAACCTATTTTGAAAACGGCAGATTACCCAGCAAGTAGTTTTGTAATAAACATTTTTTCGTGTCTTTTCATTCTGATATTGACAATTTTTGATTTTCCCTTGCATCTCTGTAAGCGAGCGAATGTTTTCAAATTTTGATTGTGCCATTTTTTAACATTGGCCCAAAAAGAGCACATGCCACTTAGTTTGTCTTTCGGTATGTGTGATTTGAGTGGGCCACACCCCTATTAGATTTATCGGATTGTATAGAACTTGTTCCATTGAAATGCTCTTCTTTTTAGCACATTTCCACAAAAATAAAAAAAATTTACTATTGTGGCCACTTTGCCCGTCCGTCCCTAGTTTTTCTACTCTTTTCGCTATTGGTTCGTTATGCTGTCAAGGTTTGCACCAAGGAAGGAATTTTGTCTGTGCCGCTTACGAAAAAAGTTATGGTAAAAAAACCATTTTTTTGAGATTGTATTGTATTGCTGTCTGTCTGTATGCCCGTCTGTCAGTGTATCTGTCTGTGTGTTTGTCCGTCCGTGTGCACGATAGCTTTTGTATTTGCGCAATCCATTTTTTTTAATTGTTAAATACTTAAATGAAACTTTTTATGTAGGCTGTAGGACCTCGACTAAAGTAAAACTAGTGCCGAGTCAAAAAATATGTTGGGCTCATGCGCAATCGGATTTTTTTATTTGTTAAGTTATTTAAATAAAATTTTGACGTAGGCATCTCGAATAAAGATGAAACTAATGCCAAATCAAATAATTTGTTTTGCGCATGCCCAGAAATACCCTGAAATTTTAGGGTAGGGTTCTTTTTATAAACTGAAATTGAAGCAGCAAGTCAAAAATGGATTGCACATGTGCAACGCTAACTTTCTTATTTGTAGCCGGATTTTTACGAAATTTAAAGTTTAAGTTTGCTTGCTTGCATCTTACAGTATGGGAAATGAATGCAATTGTAATGCCCCGAGTAATGCGCTTTTTATAAATCGTTTACGACGAGGTTTACGATTACCTTTTTAACTTCTTATTTGTGTGTTTAAAGGTACCTGTTACCAACTAAGAATTCCCTAATAGCCAACATAAATGAATATGTTTCTTGCTTACGTAATGCCCGTGTATAGCAACTTGAGCAGCTACCAGAAATCTTGGTCAGTCACTCTCAATCACCTGCAATCATTTACAATCGTCTGCAATCATTCATAATCACATGCAATCACAATGCAATCCTCTAAAATCCGACAATCGCATCGCAATCGCAGGATTGTGGTCGCAATCGCAGCAATCGTAGGGAAATCATGGGGATTGTCGCAATACTGTCACAAAATTTGAGAAGATGTTACCCCCTCGGGTAATACACTTTACCCTCGTGATTAAAACCCACTTTATTTGGTATACAATCAATTTCTGACAATAGCGAATTTGTTCGTGGTTTGAAATAGTGTATGCAGATGAAGTCACTTTTCGTCCTATCGGCCTCGAATTTTTAAAGTTGACACTTTTCACACGATAACGTTAAGTAAGCATTGCTCATACGCATTTGAAGTTGATCTAAAACCAGATTTACCAATCAGATTAGAGCGACATTGTCAGAGTAATTCCCAATTATAGCTATGAGACAGTTCTCATTCGGGAATGGAATCGTCAAGGGATTTCCTCTTAACCGTATTTCTTATACGGCCACGAGAAACCCTTATTAGACGGTATTTTTTATGCAGCAACATTACATTAACCCCCGTTGTATTTTTTTCAGATTCGCTTATTGAACGTGCAAGTGAAATGGTGTAAAACTGTAAACTAATGCGGTTGAGGTAAGATTCATTAAATTAATAATTGTGCTAACCGGATACGGACCGGATTGTCCCCCCAAAAACAAACGGAGAAATTGCAGTTTTTGATTAATATTGTTAGAAATTTAAGTTGCACTTTTTCGGCTCGTAAGGTCAAATGGACGATTACCGAATACGACAACTAGGAATTACTTTCATTTTTCGTGAGAAAAATTTTAATAAATTAATTACAAAAAAAGGCAATTTTTCATTGTATGCATTAGTCCTTTAGTATTTAAATGTTGGCAAATTAATGCATATAATTAAACACTTCCATCAAAATAGGTTTGTGATACAAAATTGTAATTTCTCTTTCTTTATCAAATTCGACATGTACACATTTTCACTTTTTTTGTTTTAGTTTAAGCGCCCAGTTAGTTTTATAATAATAAACTTGGTGCGGATATTTATTATTTTAATATTCGTATAGATGTCATGCGACTAAATGCTTACGTAAATGCCGCAATTGTTTAATTTTACAGTAATTGGCAACGGCCTTGATTTTTACGTTACTAGCGCGATGCGTTTGCCAATCTTGTCCTTTTCACAGCCTGAAAGTTTTATGACGTTAATTTATTTATATAAATCTAATGACACTCTTCATTTAACTGGGTGTTAAAATCCGTTATAAATAAATACCGGTAAGTCTTCGTGGGGCGTATACCATAAACGAAATTTGTCCGTAAATTGCTTCCATTAATTCTAATGTTAATTAGAAACGGCGGGTTTATGTAATTTTGGCCGGGGAAAAAATGCAAGGAATACTTTCCAATAACAACTAGTTCACGCGTAAATGTCAACCTTGCTCATTTAAATAAATTCCCCCATGACAACACAATATAAAACTAAGTTTTCAGTATTTCTTTATATCATACATCAGAAACCTAGCATGTGGACAAGCTGCATAGAGCGGTTTGTTAGAACACGGTAGTGGTGGGATCATAATACCTGGTGGTTAGTGGTAACATTATTTCGAGACTCGCTCGAGCGACTCAACAACTCAACTGATATTGTTCCTGTGGTGTAGAATCGGTGCTCGATTTTCCGTCGTCTGTTACGCTTTTCAGAGAGCTGCAGATAGTTTTGAAAATTTTTGTATTTTTTCAATTGTCCTTAAAATAAGGGAGATTTTTCGAAAAACAAAAGAACGCCAATAGCTTCGAACCGGAGCACCAAATCAAAAATTGGAACTTAGAAAAGTTGTTTGTTTTAATGAGTTCTAACTGCCGTTTTCGGATGTAACGACACCCTGTAAATGTCGACTGTGCAAAGTTTGAGCCGAATCGGCACAATCGTTTGGCAGTTATCGTGTTCACGGACAGACGGACACCATCGAGGCTCCCCCCTATAAAGCTTGAATGGCTTCTCTGCCGCTTAATATATAATACAATTTGTACATGTTTACCTGACCTGGATCAAAGTAGCCAGTTATTCAACGCGTAATTACTTAACTATCTACAGTGTTATAATTTCACCGTACAATTTACAATTTAAACCTTTAATTTAAATATGCAAACACAAGTTACAATTTCAAATGCGAACTGTCAACAGTAATAAAAACAAAAATTCATCCAACCAAATAAAGCCAGGGCCTACTAGACCATATGAAAAAATTACAAGAGACAAAATGTTTCTAAATAAATCAGAAAATTGATTTCTTATTTTACAATCTACCTGTGGCGCAACGAAAGAAAGTTCAAGGTAAGATAATTGAACTTGACATATGACAAAAATCACCCTGTAGATTATCACTAACATTGACATTACCGATGATGTGACATATTCCAAATTTGAGCTAAATATCTCAAAGACTGCAGGAGATATAAAGAAAAATCGTAATCTTACGACTTAAATTGCGATCTATTGCCGTATTTTTTGTACTGTTTTTATTGAAAAAGTGGTATTCATTAAAAATAAAGTAGTAAAAATAACACTTTTTTTTCATTTATAACAGCAGTATTTCAATAAAAAATCAATGTTTTCTGATTTATCTGTGTCAGTTTCAAAGGAAAATGCCTATTTTAGGTAAATTTTGACGTATTTTTTACATTTTTAGCGCATTTGGCTATTATACTCATTTTGTGTAATTTATGTATAGGGTGGCCTACCATGTTCTCCGTAGCGGCGTAGGTTAAATGGGGTCAAAATTGCCCCTTTTTGTGACTAAAAAAACGCATTTAAAATTTTTGAAAAATCTTTGACAATAACTCAGATATAACCGAAAAACTAAAAATGTCAAACTAGTATAAAGGGTCTCCTCCGTACAAATTTGTAACCGACGGCTAAATTTGGAAAACTTATGCTTTGCACAACTAGAGAGCAGAAACTCTAGTATCAAATAACCAAAGTCGATAGGTGGTTTAAGAGCAAAGCTTCCACAACTTCTACAACAAATCTGAATATAGCAGAACTGGAGAGCCAGAATCATATTAACAGTCCAAAAAAAAGAATCGGAAAGTCAGAAAAGACACAATTTCGTTGAAACTTTGACATATGCCTGGGGTCGCCTCCTCTCCCAGGATTTAGTCAACTGTCGTGAGGATGCGCCCCTGGTAGGCACTATCAGGGACGTTTCGTTTCTTCTTTAATTTTTTTCTCGGCAACCATAATGCAGAGGAGTATGCAATTAATGGATTTGCACATTTTCCAAAAAGGCCACCCCTAGATGGTGCAGCCCTAACCTGTGGTGCCATAAAAATGCTGGTCTCGACGAAATTTGGTATCTGGATATCTTTGAACGTGGCAATATCGAAACCAAGTGTAGTTTTTGAAAATGTTAAAAGAGAATTCAACTGCAATACCGACCAAGAATATCAGAAGTGGTTTTTTTTTAATTTTCAGAAACTAATTTTGGATTTGTTAACGTTCATGTTAAAACATCCCCAGATGATTGAAATCAGGCCGCCTCTGCAGTCATGTCAAATTGACTTACGCAAACCGCAGTTGTTTGTAGATTTGTAAATTATGGTCGTATCATCCGCCAATTGGACCCATTTCCCTGTAACCGCATTATGTAGGTTATTAACGCAAACTAGGAACAAAAGTGGATCAAGGACTGATCCTTGAGGTACGCCGAACAAGGTTCGGTCTATGTCTCACATTGCACTGTTGTTAAATGAAACGCATTGCAAGCGATTATTTTAACGGTTTTGGGGGTTGTAACTTTCGTCGATCTCGGTACCCCATACAATTTTTTTTATGGAAGGCTGATAGCAAGGGCTTCATCTGACCCATGTGAGGTCGTGGAAAATGCCGAGAGATTTTTTCCGTGCCATTTCGGTTAAACCCTTCGTTAGGCCGAGTTGTCGCGTGGCGTATAGGTCCTTTTCTTTTTGGTGATTTTGCGACCTCCCAGAGCCGAAACGAGCTAATCTTCCGGGGCGAATTTACCTGGCGGCGAGTATTCTCGAAGGGAGAATTTTCGGGAGTAAATTGTCCTAGAATCCTGGCACATCGAGCGCATTTATGTGTAGAACTGGGGACAAATGGTTCCTGCTTGTTCGATGTGTTTATTTTTTACGGAATTACCTGTTTTTCTTTCCAATTTTGATTCACTTTTCACCGATTAAAGTACACGTGAATATTATTCACAATATTAGTCATCAACAGACGTGTGAAAATGCAAATTGATTAATCAGAGGCATCGTTACTAGATTCGTTGTGCAAGAGAAAGTTTGTAAACTTTTGTTCGTTTTATTCTCAATTAAGTAGATTTTTAGCTCATATTTCCTAGGCCGTTCTTAGACAATACAAGTATTTCCCAAGTCTGACGTTGATTATTTTAAAATAAAGTTGTTTAACCCTGATTTAACTTTAACGTTTTTTGGTACGAAATGGAAGTACTACAAACTTGTTTAAGCTCTTTAAGGAGAAAAATTAAAAAGCAAAGTCGTTTAAGTGCTCGAATGTAATTAAAGTTTAATTTTTCACTTAAGGAGCAGCAAGTCATCTTCGCTTGACGATTACTTATAATTGGTAAAAGTTAGATAGTTTAACGAAATGTTAATGGGGTTAACCAATTTAATGGTGTATGTTATGCAGTAATTGAATAATCTGTGACACCATACGGTCGCGCGGGCTTAATGTTTGAGCATAAAAAAACTAAGGCAATTATTAATATTCCGTTAACTAAATAATACGAATTAAATCCAGTTAAGATTGTTCAATGTTTACGATTGTTGTCGGAATGTTGACGAATTCCTTATTAATATGGATCAGTTTTTAGTAGAAATTGATCCTCGAGGCAGATGAAAAACTGTAAAAGGGAATTTACCCTTTCAATCCCCGAATTTAAAACCTCATTTAACCCTTTGGCTGTACTCCCATTACGGTGGTTTTATAAACATATATCATGATAACAGTTGGAAACTCGAAACAAAATGAAACATTTCCAGATAACTTTTCATTTCATTTCCATTTCGTTATGCTATTCGTATTTTCTTTTCAAGAGCGAGTTGCTATATACGAGGGAACATTTTTACGGAATCATTTTTAACTGTCAAACAGCCTAAGCAAGTGAGATATAAATTGCAAGATTTTGAGGTTTGATTGCTTGAATGTTGAAAAGGGGTGATCTGTAAAACTTGTACAGTTTAAAACAAAATATCGAAATTTTTTCAAACATTATCAGTTATCAGTATAGCGATGACACCTATGTAGTCTCCAAACTAAAACAAAATTACCGAAAGAAAGTTTAAACAAATTACCCCGCAGGTGTTCGACAAATAAAATAAGAATATCTTAAAATTACTTAGTTGTTCTTTTTTAAGGGTGGGATTTTGCATATGTTAAATATAAGCAATTTCATGTTTATCTCGGTAACGTATTGGAATTTGATTATGAAATGTTCTACTTAAATTCGTGAAACATGTCTTTATATAATCGTCAATATTACTCCAATTCCTTTGTAAAAAAAGTAGGTATTATTTCAACATTTAAAAGCAACAAAAGGTATCATTCCAAAAATATTTCATTTTGTAGAG